CCCTTCCTCGTCGCCCTCGTCGCCCTCCTCCTCCTCCTCCTCCTGCTCCCGTTCCTCGTCCACGTCCTCCTCCTCTCCCACCCAGGTAACGAATCTATCGAGCCCTCGTCCAACTCCTCCCCCTCCCGCTCGTCCTCCTCCTCCTCCCCTTCCTCGTCGCCCTCGTCGCCCTCTTCCTCCTCCTCCTCCCCCTCCTCCTCCTCCTCCTCGTCGCCGCCCTCCTCCTCCTCCTCCTCCTCCCCTTCCTCGTCGCCCTTGTCGCCCTCCTCCTCCAGGTCGTCCTCCTCTCCCACCCAGGTAACGAATCTATCGAGCCTGTTTTTTTTTCTCCAACCTTTTCTCGATTAAATTTTGTGCGTGTCATCCTTGCGCAGAGGTTGTGCTAATCTTCTCTGTATCGTTTCCAAAGCAACGAAACAGAAGAGGATTGGGAACGATACAGAGAAGATTAGCACGACCTCTGCATCCACCTCGTCCTCCTCCTCTCTCACCTAGGTATCGAAATTTTGAAAATAATCCGATCTATTGAGCTTTTTTTTTTTTTTTTGGGACCTTTTCTCGAATCCTATGTCATCCTTGCGTCAGGGTCATGGTAATCATCTCTGTATCGTTCTCATTGCAACGGATGTCCCGAAGAGGCCTGTTTTTTTTTTCCGACCTTTTCTCGATTTTTGTTTGTCATCCTTGCGCAGGGGTCATGCTGATCTATAGGGGGCTGTAGGGCTTGATGTACAGGGCACTTTAAGGGGTCATGCTAATCTCCTCGCCATATCCCCTCGGCTGGAAAACGCTGGAAATACCGCTCATTTTTTTTTTCCGTTGTTTCCTGTTCCTAGACTCGGTGCTCGCCATATCCCAGTCTTCCCGCCATATCCACACCTTCATCTCTCCTCCATGCCTCCACCTTCGTCCTCCACCTGTCCATCTTTCCTCCATCTCTCTTCCATCTGTCCTCCATATACCCTCCACCTTCACCTCTCCTCCATGCCACCACGTTTGTCCACCTGTCCATCTTTCCTGCATCTCTCCTCCATCTGTCCTTCATATACCCTCCACCTTCACCTCTTCTCCACGCCTCCACCTTTGTCCTCCACCTGTCCATCTTTCCTCCATCTCTCCTCCATCTCTCCACCTTCATTTCTCCTCCATGCCTCCAACTTCATCTCTCCTCCATACCTCCACCTTTCTCCTCCATGTCCATCTGTCCTCCACCTGTTCATCTTTCCTCCATCTTTCCTCCATCTCTCCTCCACCTCTCCACCTTCATTTTTCCTCCATGCCTCCACCTTCATCTCTCCTCCACGCCTCCACCAGGTGCAACATCATCTGTCCTCCATACCTCCACCTTTCTCCTCCATGTCCATCTCTCCTCCACCTCCGTATCTCGCCCTCTTCCCTCCATCTCTCTTCCATATCCCCATCTCCCTCTCATATCCCTTCCACCTTCATTTCTCCTCCATTCACCACCTTTCTCTTCCATCTCTTCCATCTCTCCATCTCTCCATCTCTCCTCCATATCTCCATCTGCCATGCATCTCTCCTCCACTTGATTTCAAGGCAGACAACATACCCCCTTTTGTCTTTTATTCTTCGTTTCTGTTATATTATTAATTATTTTTATAATCGTCCACTTGATTTGAAGGCAGACTTCCGAAGACAGCGACTGCTGGCAACTGTTTTTTTATAGGCCTGTGACCCTGAACTCCCCTTGCTGCTCTAAGAGTCGTGTGTCTGTGTGTGTGTGTGTGTGTGTGTCTGTGTATCAGAGTGTGTGTGTGTGTGTGTGTGTGTGTTTCTGTGTATCAGAGTGTGTGTGTGTGTGTGTGTGTTTGTGTATCAGTGTGTATGTGTGTGTGTGCGTGTGTGTGTGTGTGTGTGTGTGTGT